ATGACGACAACAACGACAACGACGACAACAACGACAACAATGACAACAACGACGAAAACTGACAACAACGACGACGACGACAACAACGACAACGACGACAACAATGACAACAACGACAACAATGACAACAACGACGAAAACTGACAACAACGACGATGACGACAACAACGACAACGACGACAACAATGACAACAACGACAACAATGACAACAACGACGAAAACTGACAACAACGACGATGACGACAACAACGACAACGACGACAACAATGACAACAACGACAACAATGACAACAACGACGAAAACTGACAACAACGACGATGACGACAATGACAATGATGATGACAATGACAATGACAACGACGACGACAACGACGATGATCACAATGACAACGACTATGACAACGACAACAACGACGTCGACAACGATGATGACTCACCCCTTCGGTGACAGGGGGCGCGTGCGTACGACCACGTAACCGAGCGACGTCATGTACTGTATGAACTCCTGCATGAAGCTCTGCCGTAGCTGCACGTGCCACATCTCCTCACCGCCGCCGCCGCCGCTGCTGCCGCCGCGCTGCTGCTGCTGCTGCAGGGCGTCCGCTAGGTCGAGACGCAGTGAGCGTCGCGCGTCCGTCCCCGCCGCCGCGCCGCCCGCATCCCCCCGCCGCTGCAGCCCGCCGGGTAGCTTAGCACTCCCACCTGAACTCTGACGTGACCGCTGTAAAGAGATGATGACGACGATGATGATGACGATGAAAGGTGCAGTAAGTGCGAGTGAAGAGATGGAGATGAGAGGTCCGGTAAGAGAGAGACGGAGATGAGAGGTCTGGTGAGAGAAGAGAGAGAGGGAGAGAGTGTGAAGAGATGGTGAGAGAGAGGGAGAGAGTGTGAAGAGATGGTGAGAGAGAGGAAGAGATGGTGAGAGAGAGGGAGAGAGTGAGAAGAGATGGTGAGAGAGAGGGAGAGAGTGAGAAGAGATGGTGAGAGAGAGTGTGACGAGGTGGTGAGAGGACGTGTGAGAGAAAACGGAGACTTCAAGGGAGATGGGGCCTGTGATAAATGGTAGATTTTTCGTATAGAAGTTACGCGTTAATGAGTAATTATTATTACCACGATTACAAGTTTAAAAAAATTACTATTCAAAGGCGGCAAGAAGTGATGAACTGACATTTAGACATTCTTCCGTATTTCTAATAACGTGCGTCGAACGCTGACCCACCTTCCCTCCCATCGTACAGATTCTACCATTTTGACAACGTTGATAACACTCAGCGCCCTCTATAACGCGCATGGAGCAAACCGCGCGGCGGCGGCGACGACGACAATGACGTACTGAATTCGAGTCGTCGCTCGACTGCTTCTGGAAGTTTCCGCTGCTGCTGGATCGCCGTGGCAACGAGTTAGGCATCTTGTGTTTGTCTGCGCTGCGTCTCCAGGCGGGGCTGAACAGTAGCGGCGTCGCGCAGAAGTGTACGAGACGCGAGGACTGCTTGAGCAGCGCCAGCTCATCCAGCTATAACACGACGACGACGCCACGCGCGCGGGGGTCAGAGGTCAGATGATGACGACATGCAATCACGTGATACATGTAACAATTATAGAATAATGATAATAATAATAATAATTCCTGTGTAAAAACATAATAATTTTTAAATATTGAAAGTGACTATATCATTGTAAATAGTATTAGCAATTTATTTTTCACAAAATATATATAAACTATGAAAATGCAATTATGGTTAAATTGTTGCACTTTTTTCTATTTTTCCATTCTATTTTTCCATTCCAGTTTCTTTCAACTATGTAAACAGAGTTAGTGCCAGAAAGAACTTCTACATGCGCACGATAATTCTCCCGTCTCTCCGAGTGAAATAACCGCGTTCCCCTCTTCACACATTGTCGCTAAATCGGACGAGCTACCCCAGCTCATACTTTTTACAACAAAATAGAATTCAGTTCATTTCAAAATATAGCGTGCAGCACTCTGTTGCAGAGCATCGACTATCGAACGTCCTATCACCGTGCTGATTGGCTAGAGCTGCCTAGCTGTGACATCACCGTTGTCATGGCGGCGGCGGTGTACTTACCGTTATGGCTACGTGGCTGTGGGATGTTCGCTGCTGCCACATGCGGTACAGGTTTCCCAGCCGCGTAACCTTCTCCAGTTCTGCAACACCCCGCGAAACAAGCAAAGATGAGTCGGGAACGAGAATCGCAGTCTACAAGGAGATTTAATTAACCGGTAATTAATTAATGAGGCTAATTATTAATTATTAATAATTAATTAATGAGGCTAATTATTAATTATTAATAATTA